CCTCCCAGGAGCCCGCGAAAATGGCGACAATTGCTCAGATCGCAACCCCCCCAAGGCACCGCGAGGTCTCGAAGTGATCCGCGTTGGACGTACCTCCGCTGGGCCTCCCCGGAGCCCACGAGCGTGGCGACAATTTCCCAGATCGCAGCCCCCCAGGGCGCCTCGAGGTCTCGAGGTGATCCGCGTTGGACCTACCTCCGCTGGGCCTCCCAAAAGCCCCCGAAAATGGCGACAGTTTCAGATCGCAGCCCCCGAGGCACCGCGAAGTCTCGAGGTGGTCCGCGTGGGACGTACCTCCGCTGGGCCTCCCAGGAGCCCACGAAAGTGGCGACAATTTCCCAGATCGCAGCCACCAGGGCACAGCGAGGTCTCGAGGTGATCCGCGTTGGACGTACCTCCGCTGGGCCTCCCAGGGGCCCACGAACGTGGCGACAATTTCGCAGATCGCAGCCCCCCAGGGCACCGCGAGGTCCCGAGGTGATCGGCGTTGGACGTACCTCCGCTGGGCCTCCCAAGAGCCAGCCCCCAAGGCACCGCGAGGTCTCGAGGTGATCCGCGTTGGACGTACCTCCGCTGGGCCTCCCAGGAGCGCACGAAAGTGGCGACAGTTTCGCATATCGCAGCCCCCCAGGGCACCGCGAGGTCTCGAGGTGGTCCGGGTGGGACGTACATCCGCTGGGCCTCCCAGGAACCCACGAACGTGACGACAATTTCGCAGATCGCAGCCCCCCAAGGCGCCGCGAAGTCTCGAGGTGGTCCGCGTGGGACGTACTTCCGCTGGGCCTCCCAGGAGCCCACGAACGTGGCGACAATTGCGTAGATCGCAACCCACAGGGCGCCGCGAGGTCTCGAGGTGATCCGCGTTGGACGTAACTCCGCTCTGCCTCCCAGGAGCCCACGAAAGTGGTGACAATTTCGCAGATCGCAACCCCCAGGGCACCGCGAGGTCTCGAGGTGATCCGCGTTGGACGTACCTCCGCTGGGCCTCCCAGGAGCCAGCCCCCAAGGCACCGCGAGGTCTCGAGGTGATCCGCGTTGGACGTACCTACGCTGGGCCTCCCAGGAGCCGACGAAAATGGCTACAATTTCGCAGATCGCAGCCCCCCAGGGCACCGCGAGGTCTCGAGGTGATCCGCGTTGGACGTACCTCCGCTGGGCCTCCCAGGAGACCACGAAAGTGGCGACAATTTCGCAGATCGCAGCCCCCAAGGGCACCGCGAAGTCTCGAGGTGGTCCGCGTGGGACGTACCTCAGCTGGGCCTCCCAGGAGCCCACGAAAGTGGCGACAATTGCGCAGATCGCAGCCCCCCAAGGCGCCGCGAGGTCTCGAGGTGATCCGCGTTGGACGTACCTCCGCTGGGCCTCCGCCCCCAAGGCACCGCGAGGTCTCGAGGTGATCCGCGTTGGACGTACCTCCGCTGGGCCTCCCAGGAGCCCACGAAAGTGGCGACAGTTTCGCAGATCGCAGCCTCCAGGGCACGAGAGAAGAGGGGAACACAGGAAACAGGAGAGCAGGAGGGGATGAGCGGGGAGGAGGAGAACGGGGCGACCACACTGCTCGATTCAAAACGAGTACCCAACCAAAGGAGGGTTGGGAAAAATTGTAAAACATCGTCCCCAGACTATTTTTACTATTTGTGTATATTCCTCCTGTAGAGCGACACGCCCGACCTAAGAACAGCACCACCATCGCCGAGACTGGGATCATCTTCCTGTGGTGTATGCATGCCGCCTCTACTTAGAGGTCTCATAGATGGGCTCGTGGTAGATGGGGTCGGAAGATCGCGCCACGTCGCCGATGCATCGCCGATGCATCGCCCATGCATCGGCGATGCACCGGCGACGTCGCCGATGCAGCTTCGACGACGACCTGGAGACGATCGGGCTCCACATCGAGCCGTGTGTCGGTGATACGGCGGGACCCTCCGACCCCATCTCGTGGGACCCCATCTGGGAGGCCCCGCACACGGCAGGCTCGTGTCGTGCCGACTCCGGCCCTGGCTCCTGACACCGCGGGGGCCGTGGAACCCTCCACGATCGGCCGTGAGCCGAGACGTCAGACAGTTCCACGTCGATCGATTCCTGGCCGCCGGCGGCGCTCCACGTGGAGCGCGGGCGGCGGGGTCGCCGCCGGTCGAGACTCGGGAGGCAGCTACTGGGAGGTCTTCGTCGGGAGGATGAAGGTCAGGTCGGGCCTGTCCCCATAAAAAGGGTCAACACATATTCAAACATGATTTTTAAAAAAGTCCCCAGAGTATTCTCTGACCATTCTTGGGTAATCCTCCTGTAGAGGGGCAGGCCTGGCTTAAGATTAGGGAAACTTGAGCCACATTAGGGGGCTGCTACGACAGATTAGGCCGGGAGAAACCGGGATTCATAGAGGCCTCCTAGATGGGGTCCGAGTAGATGGGGTCGGAGGATCGCGCGAGCTCGCCGATGTATCGGCGATGCATTGGCGATGCATCGGCGATGCATTGGCCATGCATCGGCGATGCATCGGCGATGCACCGGCGACGCATCGTCGATGTCGACGTGAAGCGAATCGGGCTGCACATCGGGCCGCATCGGCGATGCATGGCTGCATGGGCGACGCGGCGCGATCCTCCGACCCCATCTACTCCGACCCCACCTAGGAGGCATAGAAGTAAGCTTGATTCAGCGGGATCAAGCCAGATTAAAGCGGGATTAAGCCGGATTTCTGATGTAGACAAACTCAGCATTTGACCTCCCCTGCTCTGCATCCAAACGAGACGACGCGAACCTACCGTCTGGGTGTTGTGGTGGTGTCATCCTCTAGGCCTCCAGAGTTATGTCGGGCAGGCAGACCCTAGCATTAAGTCGGGCCTGTCCACCTACACGGGGATTTTGGACGAAAATGAAAAATAGCCAAACAATTGTCAACAAATGTTCAAAAACTCGTCCCCAGCCTAATTTTTTTAAAAAATATTTTTGAGGATTCCTCCTGTAGAGGGACAGGCCTAACTTAACCCTGGCGGGCGGGCTGGGCAAACGGACCCCGGCGAGTTGTGCGGACGCATCCGTCGAGGACGGGCGGCGCAGACGGCCGCGGGCGAAGACGGCCGGGAGAGGGCCGCGGGGGGAAGACGACCGGGCGACGACGGCAGCACGAACACGGCAGGGCGCAGACTGGCGGCGAGCTCCGGGGGAGGTGAGAAGGGGCAGGCCTTCTCGGGAGGCTCGGAAGTCCTCCAGCCTGAAAAGCTCTCCACGCCTTCCCCGAAGGCGCAAAACAAAAACTTCTCGGAAGGCGCGGGGGCTTCTGAGAAGTCCCGCCGACCCCTGAGAAGGCCTTCTCCTTCTCACTGCCCTTTGCTGACCGCCGAGAAGACGACGGCCGTGGGCGAAACACACATCTGTATCCGATGCCTCGCAGACTGGGCCCCCTGGCCACGACCCCGCGGAAACGGGGCGTTCCTTCGCGGACGCCCCGCGCGGAGAGGAGGAGGAGGAGGAGGAGGAGGAGGAGGAGGAGGAGGAGGAGCATCCGTGCGACCGCGCCCCCGCGCCCCCCGGCATCCAGACCGCGGGAGCGCGCGGGTGCGGAGGTGCTCGCCGCTCGTGAGACGGGTGCGCAGACGGCACGGCGACGACGACGAGGCGAACGCGACCTCCAGCGTCGTGGGGCCCTCTGGTGGCTCTCTTTGAAGGGGCCCAAGGACACACAAATAAATACACACAAATCAAAAGATTCCCCACATTCTCATATATTTTCTGGGTTTTTGTCTTCCCCCCCACTTACCATACTTTCCAATATTTTCTGGGGAATCGACGATTACTTGTGTCTGTGTGTTTCTTTCCCTCCTGACTCTTGCGCTGCCACGGTTCGTCTTGGCTCGTCTCTTGGGCTGCCAGGAGCCGTCTTGGGCTCTCTGGGCTCTCTTGGGCTTCTGGGAGCCGTCTCGGTGCGTCTTGGGGCTTTCACGGGCCGTCCTGGACCCCTTCGGAAGCCGGTCGGCCCCCGAGAAGCCACACGACTGGCAAGAGAGAGCTCCAGGACGGCCCTCAGAGGAGAGAGCACCGCCACAAGTTGGCTCCGCCCGGCCGCGCCGGGATAGTTGACCATAGCACCCTAGACGGCTCCAAGACGCCCAAAGCCCCCCAACAGGACCCCAGAAAAGCCTCGAATATGCCAACACGCCTTCAAGAAAGAGGAGGCAGGAGGGAGGGAGAACGATTCAGGGGAAACATGCGAGATAAGTGTAACGCTCGCCCGTTCAGACATGGCATAGAACCTCTGCGTGGTGTAGGCTGTATATGCATGTATATAAACATCTACTGTATATGTATAAAGAGTTACGCATCGATTGATACAGATGGATTTGCCCATACACGCATATATATACAACCATGCACACATTATATATATATATATATATATACATGTAGATTAAAGACATGCATATCCTTCCTTCCCCTTCGCACATGCAGCGGCAGGTGTCGCGTCCAGAGCGGCGAGGTGCTCCGCACGGCATCTGGCCTGTCCTCGCCTTCGGCGCGAGCTCCGTGACACACACACACACATACACACACGCACACGCACACGCACACGCACACGCACACGCACACACACACACACACACACACCGCTCACGCGCTCGCCGCTCGGGAGTGGGGAGGGCCCTCACAGGAGCCCCTCGCCCGCGGGCGTCCCCCTCGGCGACTCCGCTCTGCGGGATGGGGGGGGGACGGGGAAGAGGAGGGAGAAGGAGGAAGGGCGAGGGAGGAGGGGCGGAGCCCCGCGAGGAAGGGCGAGGGAGGAAGGGCGAGGGAGGAAGGGCGAGGAAGGGAGAGGGAGGAGCCCCGCGAGAAGGAGGGGGGAGGAGAGAGGGAAGGGCGAGGGAGAAGGGGCGGGGGATAGCGGGGGGGGGGGGCGGAGAAAGAGGGATGGGGTGACGGGGGAAGGGGGGAAGAGGGGGGAGAGAACCAGGACGACGGGGAGGCGGGGCCCCAGTCGCTCGAAGTCTCGTCCTCGGGCGCGCCTGCATGGTCTTCTCGGCCTGCTTGTCGCCCCAGCCCGCCAACGACTTGAATACCTGGGGCGGTCAGGATCGGCGCCCAACCACACAAAGAAAGGAGCAGTCTGGATATAGGTGCGCAAACTCTGCTGGATAAGGACTACCACGAGTGCTGACGGAAATTTGTCAATCTGTATCCCGGAACATCCTGCTGACGTCTACATCAACCTCGGGGTACTACAAACGATACTCCCAGTGCAGGAACGAAACCGGCACGTCTTGACTTTGTCCCATCCCACTAATGATACTGGGTAAAAATTAACAATTCCCATTGAAGGGCGCCCTGGCTCCTTCCCACTACGTGCTCTGAATTCTCCTCTGCCGCTGCCCGCAATCTCCTCTCTAACGCACCCCCTAAGACATGCCGTGCCACACAAGGGGGCACAACTGCTGCACAAACGAATACGATTTTGGACGACCGAAACGGATACGGAAAAACGTTAGTATAGTGCCCAATAACACCTACTGACTCACCAACACTGGCAGAGGCGCCGTGAGGCAGGCAACCTTCTGTGTCCAGTGTGCAACGTCCGCGGCGGCACCGACAGCGCGTCCTGTGTAAACTGCACAAGGACTGCGGTCGGTCCTCATGCCCAATCTTCCCGTACCGATCTCGATCGCACCGAAAAATGGAGGAGAGAGGAGGGAGGAGGGAGGGAGGGAGGAGGGAGGAGGGAGGAGGGAACATGTGCAACATGCGAACAGGTCCCTCGCGACGTCTCCTACACCATGGAGGAGCACACCTGCGGCGCTGGTGGGAAGTCATACAGGCCGCCCCACGGAGCGGTCGCACGGCCCCCTGACGTCCATGTCGCCACACACCTCTCACAAGTCTCGTACCCCATAGAGAACCCCAGCGAGCGCAACAGTGGCACCGAATGAGCACGCATCAGACGCGACTCTGTGCGCACCCAGCGTCAGTTCGGCACACCCCTCACGAATGTCTCACCCACAGCCCTCACGCGCTTACCCGACGCCCAGTTTACGGGCCCAGTCGCGCCACAGTGGGATCTGGAGGTACAACGCCAGCAACCAGCAAATGCGACTGTATGCGCGCACGCGACGTCTGTTGCTTCTTCGTTGGCACACCGCTCACACATGTCGTGCAAAATCGAAAGCACCGACTTCAGCACCAGGGAACCCCAGGCGTTCCATCCCGAACTTGTTCTTCGAATGCTCCTACTCCTAGGGAGGGCCGCGAGAGGCCGCGAATGACGAAACATCTTGAGGACCCTCTTGTCTCAACAGTTCCTTTCAAGGTGACATTCTCTTTCCACCCCCCACCACCTTCACCATCAACTACCCTGCAACATATCGGCCGCAGGCCACGCGAATTCATGCTCATACATCGCCACCATAAGCTGGTGTTACCTCCCACTGCATTGCTGGGCATGGCGGTCACGCTCCTCGCTTGTTTGCCAGCTCGAAACCCAACAAAGCAATTACATGGTAACGCAGAGTGGGTTGCGCCCGGACTCTCGAATGTAAAATGCCTGCGGCTGGTGTGGGCAGACTCGATGATGCTGCATCGGTCTGTCAGCGCGGGTCGGAGACTCCGCTCTCCGAACATCCCCCTGGGCGCAGACGCTCACGGCATGTCGTTTCAGTGCTCACGCCGGGCGGGCACATTTACCAGCCTGGAGCATATCCCTATCCCTATGCTGGGCACCTCCTCATCACGATGCCCATCTTAGGGATTCCCTCATTTCTTGAGGGCCAATCCCTAAGAATGTCATCGCCTTTTGGCGTGCCAGTCTGATGGATAGGGATACGTTCGAGGCTGGTAGCATGTGAGCCTCTCTGCGACACGGCCCAAACTGATAGCAAGGATGCACGAGAAGGGTGCGGGCCCCGTGGGCGCGCATGTCGAGGCTCTTGGGGCGGGGCTGGCCATCGAAAGTGGTTTAAGGATGGACCGAACATGCAGGGATGCAGGGGTACCCCTGGGAAGGGTAACCATCCGTAACATCGCTTTCGACTGTACTTCCTGGTGCTTACTGAAGCGATCTCTGACCTGCCGTCTTGTCCCGTCCTGCCCCGAGATGGCGCTAAGCCAGCGACATGGACTACGGAGAGAGTCTGGTCGAAGTCAAACACGATCAACCTACGAGCGAAATGCATATTGTGCGCGGCTTGGGAATAAGAGGCTGCCTTAGCTTACGCTTCGCATGCACAACCAATACCTGACGCGAAGATCAGTAGGAAGTGAACGCCAAACAACCTTACAAAGAATACGACTATTTCTGATGGAAAGCACTGTCCGCCGAGTCCCATACATAGGAATCGTCTGGAAAAAGTTCGTGTAACCAAGAAGTGGGAACCCTGTTTAAGTCGATTTAGCTTCGGTCAGTTTCTAAAGATGAAGGCAGTAGGGGGCGGTGATGGTTGAAGCAGAACTGCTATTCAGGAACAGTCACAGTCTGTATGAAACAGCCCTGATTTCAGGCACTTAGCCACCTCCCCCCCTGGCCCCTGGAAGCCCCCAGACGCCTTAAATAGTCTCCCACGAGGCCACCCCCAAAGCCTCCAAGAGATAGACCTCGAAGAAACCACACACACACACACCAGACGCGGAGAAGAGCAGGCCAAACCAACAACACTTGCATACAAGCGGGAAGCGGCAAACAACTCATACGACCCCTGAAGCCGCACGTACCCTCTCCTGGGGGTCGGCGAAATGGGGCAGGCCTCTTCAATCGAACGCAAGCATCGGTCGCCTACGCACAACGGCCTAACCCTTCAGGATTCTGGGTGAGCATGGCTGACGCCTTCCTAGTGCTGCATCGACTGTTTTCTGACTGCTGCGTACTCTCCCCCATGGTCCGCTCATCTCTCACACCAGAGCGAAGCCGAGACCGGGTCGAACTGTCATTCAGCATGGCTAGCTGACTATCTGGGAACGAAGGATGCACCCCCGACATTGAACAACCCAGAAGCGATCAACGAGCCCACGCATGGGACGGGCGCGCAATTGCAATGCTGCCCTCCGATCGCTACTTCCTTTGAGGTCCTTGCCACTCTTGCGCTGTCATGCGTGGAGTCCAGTCGCCGCGTTTAGGCAATTGGGGTCCCACATTTCCAGCGCACTGGCTAGAAAAAGGCACTCTTCTCGTCGTGGACGCCGTCGCCATCGTCGTCGTCGTCCTCCTCCTCCTCCTCCTCCTCCTCCTCCTCCTCCCCCTCCTCCTCCTCCCCCCGCTCTTGTGTGACCGTCTCCGCCCCGCAGTTCGCTCACGGACAGCCGCCGACGCGAGCGAGGCACGCCGCACAGTCCTCCTGCTCATCCTCCTTTACACCTGCGACTCTGCTGCTCCTGCTCCTTCTCGCGTTCTCTTGGCGACGCGCACAAGGGGGTGGAGGGAAGGGGGATGGCTTCTTAGAAGGAGGCTGCATCTTAGAAGGCGCCGGCCTACATCTATAGATAAGGCCCACGCATTCTAAGGAGCCGGGGTACTTCTAAGAAGCCCTCCCGCCCCCCCCCCGTTATCTGCGCGTGGCAGGTTCTCCTCCTTCCTCTCCCCCCCCCCCCACCCTTCTGCTCCCCGTCCTACTGCCAGAGTCGGCGCGTGGCGGCACACGCGTCGTCGCGAGAAGGGGGTGCCGAAATCAACGCAAGGCTCCCCACGGTGCGCGTTAGGAGTGTACGACTCCTTTTCATGGTGCCGCCACTCGAACTTGCACATTGGGGCCGTACAATGGGCCCCCTATGAGGCACGATCCGCCTGCAAGGTATGCCGAAGAGAGCGCGGCGCCGCCATTCGAACTGGCACACTGGGGTCGTGGAAAGAGCTCCCTGTACGGCGTAAGGCACCGTCCTCGTGAAGAGTGTGCCGAAAAAGATGCGCGCTGGCGCCTTGCGCATGTGCCCTTCCTCTGGGGCCGTAGATGGAGCCCCAGGCACGATCCGAGCAAGGGGTGCAACGAAGTGGGCGCAACGCCGCCATGTGAACTTGACTGGCACACTGGAACCGTATGCACAACTCCCTGTGGAGTACGATCCGCGAGAGGGGTGTGCCGAAGAGGGAGCGGCGCCGCCATTCGAACTGGCCTGCTGAAGTTGTATGTTGAGCTCACTTCGGGGATGGACAGACCCCCCTTTAGCACAACGTGGTTTACTTAAAACGACCTGAGGCCCAAACCTGGCGGGCGCAAGCCTGGAAAATAACGGCCACGGCGCCCTCCCGAGAACCGAAAACGGACAATTCAGTAATCGACGTGTCACTGTTGGGGGTTCTGTCCACCCCCGATCACTATGGAGCACGATCCGCGTGATGGGCGGGCCCGAATGAGGGCGCTGCCGCCGTGCAACCTGGCCCAGTGAAGCCGTCGGTTGAGCTCCCTGTGGGTCATGTGTCCAGGATGCGCCAAAACTTGCGTTGGGCAGCACACGTCCGCGCTCACCGGAAACGTGCATATGTGGAGTCCCCCTTTGAGGCTGTGAGTCTGGTGTAGCAGTTTGGTGTGCCAGAATTGGCGCTTGGCGGCATGCGGGCCAACCCCACTTGGGACGTGGATGGAGCTATGTGCCAGGGCACGAAATTGAAATGGTTACCCGAATCAATGATGGCCAGCATTGGGGCTCTGGGGTCATTTGTTGACCTCCCTGCGGGAGCAGGAAAACATGTGATCGGTGTGCCAAATGTGAGTAGGGCGCAAGCCACCCCCGCTGGGACCGTAGGTGGAGCTTCCCGTAGGGGCACGACACGTGCCAGGGGTGGCCCAGAATGTGCGGGGGGCAGCATGCGGTCCATAGGTGAAGCTCCATACCCATTGAGGCCGTCGGTGGAGTGTGAGGAGTGTGCCACAATGTGTGGGGCGGCATGGGGTCCACCCATGCTTCTACCGTAGACAGAGCTCCCTACGTGGGCATGGAGCGTGTGGGGGGTGTCATGGAATGTGCCTGGGGCGCCATCCGATCCACCCCATTAGGGACGGAAGTGAAGCTCCCTAGGGGGGCACGAAGCGTGAGGCGGGGGAGGGCGAGGAGGAGGAGGCGAGGGAGAAGACGCACAGCGCCGCAGATCCAGAACTAGCATGGCGATGGGCCCGACCTCACGCAGCTGCGAGTATCGCTGGGAGTAGTCTTGGATAGCCCATTCGGCTCTAGACAGACCCCGAAAGGCTGCCTGGAAAAGAGGACTCTCACCAGCCTAACCATACGTTCTACGCTGACGTGCGCACCGATATGGAGCTAGGGTCCCACGGGCGCCCCACCTGGGCTGCAGGTGGAACACGATCCTCGCGAGGGGGGCGACGAGCTGGGCGCGGGGCCACTACGCGACCTGGCCCACTGAGGCCGCAGGTGGAACTCCACAGGAGGCACGATCCGCGTGAGGGGTGTGTCGAACTGGGCGCGCCGCCGCCGTGCGAACTTGCAAACTGGGCCGTAGGTGGAGCTCTTCGTTTGTCGGCCCGACTGGGGGAGAAATGAAAAGGAGAAAACCTTCTCAGAAGGCTTGGAAACCACCCGGCCTTCCGAGAAGTCTCCTGAGCCTCCCCCGAAGACACAAAGAACTTCTCAGACGGCGCGAAGGTTTCTGAGAAGTCCCGCCGCCGTCTGAGAAGGCCTTCTCCGCCTTCTCCTTCTTATGTCCCCCCTCGCTCGCCGCCGACTCGTAGGAGCACAAAGCGCGTGAGGGGAGTTCCAGAACGAGAGCGTGACGGCACGCGGTCCAACCCTAGGCAAGGCGCCGTAGACTGAGCGTCTCCTCCCCCTGGGGCCAGCCGCAGGAGGAGCCGTCTATATCAGGGCACGACGCGCGCGAGGAGAAGGCCAAAATGTGTGAGGGGCAGCAGGAGGTCTACCCCAGCTGTTGCCGTAGAGTTAGGTCGGGCATGTCCTCCTACAGGCGGGTTTTGGATGACAAATGATCAATAATCCAAACATGCTCAAAACCTTGCAAAGAACTGCTCAAACCTCGCCCCATACTATTTCTTGACTATTTGGGAGTATTCCTCCTGTAGAGGAACGCGCCCGACTGAACAGTAGATGGAGATCCCTCCCGATGGAGGAGGATGAGGATGAGGAGGAGGAAGAGGAGGAAGAGGAAGAGGAGGAAGAGGAGGAGGAAGAGGAGAAGGAAACGAGGGGGAGGAGGAGAAGGAAACGTGGGGGGAGGAGGAGGAGGAGGAGGAGGAGGAGGAGGAGGAGGAGGAGGAGGAGGAGGAGGAGGAGAGACTGAGAGCAGAGGCGGGGAAGGGGAAGCAGCGGTGACGGAGGCGGGCGCCGCGGATTCACCAGTGCACCCACCAGTACAGCAGGTCTGGGAGCAGGGCCCCAACAGCACAGGATGGACGGGAGTACTTGCCCTCGGTGTTCCTCCTCCTCCTCCTCTCCTCCTCCTCCTCCCTCCCGCCTCCCTCCCTCCCTAATTACCTCCCTCCTCCCCCCTCCCTCCCTCCCTCCCTCCTCCTCCTCCTCCACCTCCTCCTCCTCCTCCTCCTCCTCCTGCTCCTCCTCTTCCTCCTCCTCCTCTCCTCCTCATCCTTTCCTCCTTCTCCTCCTCCTCCTCCTCCTCCTCCTCCTCCGCCCCCTCCTCCTCGTCCTCGTCCATCGTCCTCGTCCTCGTCCTCCTCCTCCTTCTTCTCCTTCTCCTCGCTCCACCTCCTCTTCATCCTCCTCCCCCCCCTCCTCCTGTTCTTCCTCCTCCTCCACTTCCTCCTCCCCCTCCTCCTCCTCGTCCTCCTCCTCCTCCTCCTCGTCCGCGTCTCTGCACCCTGCCCAGGTGGAGCATCGCACCGCGCGGGTTAACTGGCGCAACCCACCACAAGAGGCATGCCCTCGAGGGCTGCCCAGCGAAGCTGGGCAAGATGTACACGCCCGTCGGAAGAAGTACGGCAGGTTCGTGTCGTGCCGACTTTGGCGTTGGTTCCAGAAACCACGGGGATCGTGCAACCTTGAACGATCGACGGTTTCCGAAACATCCAATCGTTCAACACATCGACCGATTCTGGGTCGCCTGAGGCGATCAACTTTTAACGCTGGCGGCGGGGTCGCCGCCGGTCGACACTACGCAAACCTACAGTAGGTAAACACATGAAGTGAGACAGCGGATCAAATATATTGGGTCCAGGCCCTCCACGAGGATAACAACACGCAGCATAAGCATTTCGATTATTGAGCTAGGACGACGCTGTAAGTAGATAAGCACCTACTTTCAACAACCAGCGTGCAAGGATGAGCCCACAGGGGTAGGATGCGACATTGGCACATCGATCATCCTAGTATGGAGACCCGTCTACGGGAGTGAGGGCGATTGGGGTCGGGGGATGGCGCCGCATCGCCGGCGTATCTGCGTCGGCGACGTCTGAATGGAAGACATCGGGCTCTGTGTCGCGCCGCATCGCCCATGCAGCGGCGACTCGGCACGATCCTCCGACCCCGTACGCTCCGGCCGGCCCTTTGGGCGGCCTGTCTCTTGCAGCGGACCGCGACTGTGCGCATCTTTCGGTGAGCAAATATTGGGTCAATGCTGGACCCCCCTCCGTCGGGGTCCAGCACCGACTCAAGAGCTCCGCGCGGAAGCCCGACAAGTCACGATCGTGCAGCTGCTGATGTTACTCGGCCAGCCGCGCCCCTCTTGCTCAAGCCCCCGGGCGCCCCGTGGAAGTACCATCAGGTCGGGCCTGTCCCCCTACAGGGGGATTTTGAACGAAACATTACAACATACCCAGAAAATGCAAAAAAGATGCCAAACAATACTCAAACATAGTCCCCAGACTATTTTTTGACAGTTTTGAATATTCTCCCTGTAGAGGCACAGGCCCGACATAAAAGTACCAAAAATGATCAGCAGCCCATCGTGGATTTCCCAAAACAGCCCAGTTCTCTCGCTCTGCGCATGGCCCATTCTCGAATCACTCGAAGCAAGCGTGCCCACACGTCCGAAGAGCACCGTGCTCCCAACGGTGCCAAGTATGTGGGCGCCGCTCCCCCGGGCAACTAGCTCAGGACCTCCCCCTGGCTGCGGCACTGGAGGGGGACGAAAAATGGCATAAACACAAAAACTCCGAGGACCGCGCAGATTTCTCGTATCCGCGCTGGACCCCCCTCCCTGGTGCGCTCCGCGCGCCAGGGGCGGCGCCGGGGGCGCCGCCAAGGGGCCCCAGCACCGATCCGAGAAATCCGCGCGGACCTCAGAGTTTTTACCTTTCTGTCATTGGTCGTTCCCCTAAGTAGGTTGAGAAGCCTGAGCAACTCGAAGGGGGTCAGAATATGAGACAACCCCTCGGAGATGCAAAGGGGGCGCGAGAGAGACGCAGCGGCAGTCAAGGGCGGCAGTGTCAGGATGCAACTCCTGGGAGGTCTTCGTCGGAACGATTAAAGGCGACTAAGCCCAATCAAGGGGCCACTTCACTGGATGAGGCCCAATTAAGCCTGGGAGTAAACCCACTTGAACGGGATCAAGCCGGATTAAGCCAGATTAAGCGTGATTAAGCCGGTTCTCGACCGCGCAAATACCACCGCCGAGACAGAATTAAACCTCCCAGGAGTTGCATCCCAGGCGTTGGCTGAGCACGGGTGCGTTTGCCCCTCCGCATCACCGATCGGCGACACATCGTCAATGCACTGGCGACGTCGGCGATGCGTCGGCGACGTCGGCGTGGAGAAAGTCGGGCTCCACATCTGGCCGCATCGCCGAAGCCTCGGCGATGCATCGGCGATGCGGCGAGATGCTCCGACCCCAGGTGCTCGGACCCCACCAGAGAAACCCAGACATTTGCACCTCCCCGGGCTGGCTCTGCTCTGAGGAGGCCGTGGCGGCTGTGACATCCTCCAGCATCGCTGCATCATCAACAACAACAGCAACAGCAGCAGCAGCAACAACAACAGCAACAGCAGCAACATAACCGCTGCACCATCAACAGCAACAGCAACAGCAACAGCAACAGCAACAGCAGCAGCAACAACAACAGCAACAACAGCAGCAATAATTTTAAGACTGTTCGACATTATATGCTCGAGTGTCCAATAACGCGTATTTCCCAAACCCTCGGTACCCGCCCTCTTCGTCTTCGATCGAACCCCTTTTGGGGGGTATACCTTTCTTCCCTGCAGGCCGGGCCCCGGCAAGCGGCGGGGCGGCCGCGGACCGTCGGCCTGGCCAGCGGCAGCGCTGATCGGCGGGGCGGCCGCGGACCGTCGACCCGACCCCAAGAGGGACGGACAGGGGACCGACCACGACGACGACGACGACGACGACGACGACGACGACGACGGCGACGACGACGACGACGACGGCGACGACGAGTGAAAGCGAGAGCGAGAGAGAACGACAGCAGGGCCACGAAGGGCACGAAGTAGGCCACGAAGGGCGACAGCGGGGACACGAAGGGAATGCGTATGGGGCCACGAAGAGCGCGAACGAGCGGGGGCCACGAAGTGCAGACAATGAGAGGCCACAGAAGGCAACTATTGGGCCACTGAGGGTAGCAACTGGGCCACGTAGGACAGTGAGGGGGACACACATGGAGGAAGTCCAAAGCGAGAGCGCGATTCCTGAATCAAATGCGAGGAAGTCTCGGGCGGGAGCGGGGGCCCTGGCTAAATTGTAAGGAAGTCTCAGGCGGGAGCTGTTGTTGTTGTAACCCGGGGGCCAGGGGGCCAGTTTGAGCAGGAAGACTTTTCCTGTCAAAACACAGGGTTCCAGCGTCGAGGGGCACACTTTGATTGAGAAAAAGCAGTATGCACCAGTGGGGGGGATCAACAAAAATTATTCTTCAGAAGTGAGAATTCAACAACAGTCCACAGCGAACCGAAACATCCGAACAGGCTGGCTTAAAGGCTCCTGACCAGGAGCTGGAAAGCTGCACGCGCTCGAGGATGCCCCAACTGCTTCTCGCCACGCGGGATCTCAGAGGTTCTCGATGTATCCTCACCTGATGTTATCCTCGCCCTGACCGCGTCTGACATCTGCCCCTCCCCAGGCTGGCTCTGCTCCGAGACGGCCGTGGCGCCCAAGACATCCCTCCAGAATCGCTGGATCTCGGAGATTCCCGGTCTGATCCTCACCCGATGCCCTCCTCGCCCTGGCTGCGTCTTACACCTGCCCCTTCCCAGGCTGACAACCCGAAGACCCGAACTTGACCCGAAATTCGGGTTGGGGGAGGGTACGGGTTCCATGTTTTTTCCCCAATGTTCCCCGACCACCCTCCCCACTGGAAATAGATAGCAAATTGAGGCCTTCGGGTTGGGTTGGGGTGGTTTGGTGGGTGGTAACAAGCTGGCTCTGCTCTCGAACCCCTGGTCCTGGAGCGGACCGCGACCGCCGCCGCCCCTTTGCCGCGCCGGCCGGGGGGTGGGATACACGGTTTCCCCCGAGCCGTAGGCGACCCGAGGAGGAGGAGGAGGAGGGGGAGGAGGAGGAGGAGGGGGAGGAGGAGGAGGAGGAGTATCAGGCGGAGGAGGAGGAGGAGGAGGAGGAGGAGGAGGAGGACGGGTCGCCTAAGCCCCTCGGAGAAACCTTCCAGGGGGCGGGGCGCGCGCCTGACAGCGCCGCTCGCGCCAGCGTCGGGCCTGTCCGGGGCAGCCTCCCGTCCGAGGCGGCCCGCTGCACCCCCCCCATCGCTCCCTCTCCCTCCCTCTCTCTCTATTTTCCTCCTCCTCCTCCTCCAAATGGCACCTGTGCAGCGGAAATGGGATCACTACCCACTGCAAGTACGAGCCATATGTTTTCTTGATTTCTCCCGTGGTGGCCGTAACCCTCGCATGCAATGGAACTTAGATACCCTCGTCAAAAGTGTTGTGGATGGACTATGGCGAGACAGGTTCCGTAAGGAAGAGGAGGATCATGGCTGCCAGTCCTTTCCGCGGTGGAAGCAATATGAAGAGCTTGCTACCCCTGATGAAGCGTGGCATCACCTGGTGAGTGAGGCTCAGCAGATTGCACTTGTTTTTTTCAGGAATACTTAGAGGAAAATCAGAATTATCGCTTGGCTCGACAAAAACAACGAGAACTGGTCAACTGGCGTGTTATTTTACGTGAGAATATGGGCTCCCTTGGCACCGAGGCGCAGATCGAGGAGATTACAACTTTGCAGCAACAACTAAAGATATTGACCAAGGACCTTCATAAAGCCAAGGAGCAGCACCAGCAAGCGCAAATCGACAGCCTCGGGGAGCAGACTCGACATGCGTGGCAACAAAATGGTCATAGTTTAGTTCACAGACTGGCTCGGCGAATGGCTACTACCACTGTGGGGCCTGGACGGCGTTTCTACAACACTCCGACATTGACGAATCCCACGGTGGTGATGTGGACTCAACATCTGGAGCAGCCAGGATGGCAGGGAGGACAGTCCGCACAGCAGATTCCTGATATCGATGCGCTTCCAGCACAACGTCGTACCAGACACGACGGACGGCACCCATGGAACCCTGCTTTCAAGGACGAAGCGGACCGTGATCTCCGTGGTACTTGTGCAACAGTCAAGAGACTAGCCTATCGCAAAAAGTGTTCCGCCATGGTCTCTGCCTGCGGAAATCTTCCGTATGCTACGCAACCTGACAGGGGAAGTGCGCGGTCCACCAGTGAAGGGTGCCATAGGGTCGAGCGGCGCTGCAGCATCGGGGTCGAAGCCAGAAGATGTGCCCACGGCCATGGACACGGAGGTGCTCGACGGCTATGACACGGAGGACGAGACGGCGGTCAACACCCTGAAGCAGGTGATGAAGGTCTCGCAGCGCATGAGGGCGCTGGAGGGATGTCTGATCAGCACGCCCGTGGCAGACAAGGACTGCGTTCTCAATGCCCACGCGATCGGAGCAACTCAACAATTCATGCGCATAGCGGAAGAGGATTCGAGTGCAGTGGTGGGCCCCCCCGTCACTCATGGTGGCCATGGCGGTGCTGACGGTATTGGTCGCACAGCAGGCTGTGAAAGAAGCTCAAGATATTCAAGCAGAAGTAGCAGGCCTACCTCCCTGGTCGAGAGGCTTCGAGGGGAGAAGATGGAGATTGCCGCGGAGTACATCAAGTACTGGCGAGCGAAGACCACGTTCGCGAAGGAAGGGGGAGGAGGCCAAAGCTCGTCACTCATTCTACATTCATGCGTTCGTGCCGATAGGGGACTCGCTCAACATGTTGATAGTGCCAGCCAACCTCCTGCTCACCAAGTGCCTCATGAAGCTGGGGCTAGTGATGAAGCCATGCCCTCCGCCGCGAGGGGGCCCCGAGAGCAAGCTCCAGAATTCCTTGACGAAAATGCTGAAGGGAGGCCAGGCCAACGGTGGTAGGAGCGAGGTTCTGAGGAGCTCTGAGGGAAGCTAGTAGCAGTTGTAGTCAGCCGTTAGGACCTGTCAATGTTTTAGAAACTGGGGAACCCAGGCAGTGTGTTTCCGAGCAGGACTGAGTTCCATGGGCCCATCCTGGTGTTTCAGCCAAAACGTAGGCCCTGAAAGGGCAAAGGGAATGGTAGAGGTAGAGGCCTGACTTAAGCGCTGGGGCCTCTACTTGATCGTTGTGGTGTGTCCTCGCCTGCCTCCGCCTTCCTGCTCCCTCAGAATGGCTCCCTCTCCCTCCCTCTCGCTCCGTGTTGTGTGTGTGTGTGCGTGCTGGGACGTTTGACGTCTCACTCTTGGGATCTAGTGCCACTGCGCACTACTCGAGATGATTTCGTTAGGCCTCTCGACCCTAACGGTTTCTATGGTGTTCCCCGATTAGGAATCTAGTCGCGACGGGAGTGCCGACTTTCAAGTTTCGCGAGGGGAGCTTCCCTCACTATGCGCACAGCGGCCAATTGCAAGTGGATAAGCAATGCAGACTCGACCAGGGGCTGAGTACCACCACTACCTCCTCCTCCTCCTGCTCCTCCTCCTCCTCCACCTCCTCCTCCTCCTCCCCCCCTCCTATTCCTCCTCCCCCTCCTCCTCCTCATTATCATCAGCATCATCAGCATCATCAGCATCAGCATCATCAGCATCATCATCACCATCACCATCATCATCACCATCAGCATCACCATCATCCTCATCCTCCTCCTCCTCATCATCCTCCTCCTCATCATCATCAGCATCATCATACTGAGCATCAACAGCATCATCAGCATCATCATACTGAGCATCAACAGCATCATCAGCATCATCATCATCATCATCAGCATCATCATCAATCATCATCAGCATCATCATCAATCATCATCATCATCATCATAATCATAATCATCATCATCATCATCATCATCATCATCATCATCATCAGCATCAGCATCAGCATCAGCATCAGCATCAGCATCAGCATCAGCATCATCATCATCATCATCATCATCATCATCATCATCATCATCATCATCATCATCATCATCATCATCTCCGTCTCCCTCTCCCTCCCTTTCTCTCTCTCTCTCTCTCGTGAGGGAAATCCTGGAGGCCTCGCTCGGCCACTTGGGACCCAATTTACGTCGGATTACAGTCAACCCGTATCGCAGGGATGTGCGACAAGGATGCACAGGGCCTTGGAGGGCCGAGCTGACGCTCTTCGAACGAGGCTGGCCAGCGAAAGTGGATGTGCCGAAGGGGAAAAGGATGCAAGGGGTACCCTTGGGAAGGCTGCCCCTCCTCACTGTGAGGCTTGACTGTATGAGGCAAATCCTGGAGGCATCGCGCGGCCACTGGAGACCTAATTGACGTCGGATCCACGTCGGGTTCACGTCGGATTACATCGGATTTAAGTACAGTCGACCAGTATAGTAAGGATGCGCGATAATGATGCAACGGCCTTGGACGCCCATTTCGAAGCTTCTCGATGCGGGCGCGGCCAGCGAAAGCGGCGAAGGATGGACCGAGGAGGCAAGGATGCGAGGGCCTCTTTGGGAAGGTTGCCCCTCCTTGCTATGCGGGCTGACTGTACGTCGAATACACGTCCGATGTCCGTCAGACTGAGGTCGGGACATCGCCGCGCGAACGTCGTCCCATATCCGACGGACCGGACGTGCGCGGACCAGATAACACAGCCAGTGCGCGGCGCGCGAGGCCTCCCGGATGTCCCGCATGATCTCTTCCGTCGGCGGCGAGCGAAGGGGCGGAAGCGAGAACAGGAGAAGAGAGCACGCCATAAACACAAGCTTTTGGCGCTGCGCGCGGACTTCTTGGATCTGCGCTGGACCCCCCTCCCTGGAGCGCGGAGCGCGCCACGCCGCCAGGGGGCCCCAGCGCGGATCCAAGCAGTCCGCGCGGAGCGCAGGCTCGGGAAGCTTGTCAGAAGGGGGGGTGGACTTCCGAGCCTTGTCAGACGGCCCAAGAGGCCCCCAAGAGGCCACCAAGACGGCCCCAGAGGGCATCCACGAGGCCCTCCAGGAAGGCCCGCAGAGGCCAGCATCACTGCTGCCCCTGAGGTTATTGGGACGGGTCATGCTGTGGTCGCCCATGCGGCCCTCGGACGGCCCAGGACGACCCTGCCCCCCCACCCCCCCCCCCACCCGCCGCGGGCACACCGCAGCGGGTCTGAAGCTCCACCTCCTTCCAGCTGTGCTGCTGCGCCTTTGAGCGGCGGCGGGGTCTGCCGCAGGCGGACGGGTAGATCGACCGCTTCTGGAGTGCTGTCCTGGATGCCACTTGCCCTCCAGACGGTAGCGGAGGGCGAGTGGGGGGCGAGACGAGGATGGGTGGGGTGCGAGGGGGAGGAATCAAACAAAAGTCTTGGTGGGATGTAGCACGAACCTGACGGAGGTCCTTGGGGAGGAGGAGGATAGGGAGGAAGGAAGGGGGAGGGAGAGGAGGGGAACGGAATGAGGGAGGAGTGGAGATATTGATCTCGTTTCATCGAACGGGCTAGTAACACTGTCAGCTGAGAGGGAAGGGCGCTGCTAGGGTCCTTGTGGGCGATTACCAAGTTCCTGGTGGACTATGAGCTCGCTCTAAGAGCGAGCTTGAGAGTATTATCAGAAACTTCGTTTGGGCCACTGTGCCATCGGAGAGACTGCTAGCACTTGGCTACGGCCTCTCGTCTGAAGGCATTCCTGTTCAGCCACAGCGCCGATTAACCACACCAAAACACACAACATTGTCCGTATGGACCGCCATGTAACTCTAGGGTAGGGGGCGGGGGGGCGACGCGCAATCTCCGACAACCTCCCCCGAAAACCCACTGCCAACGAACTTCAGGGCTGGGCTGTCTATAGAGGCCTTCTAGATGGGGTCAGGAATTCGCCGGCCCAACGGGCCAGGGCGTGCTAAGATCTCCGGTACCTGGTTAACAGTATTTCTAGTTCGCGTGCGCGGGGCGGCCCCTGGGGGTCCCCGGGCGAAAAGTACCCCGGCAAGGTCCCGGCAAGTCCCCGGCAAGTCCCCGGCAAGTTCGGGTCAGAGATGCCGGAGTTCTGTTTCGGAGTCCAAGAGGGCTCCAGATCGGTCCAAGAGGGCCCCGAGAAGCTTTCTAGACGGTCCAAGAGAGGCCCGAGACGGCCAAAGATCGCCCGAAGACGCCCCAGATGGCCCCAAGACAGCCCAAGAGGCCTCCAAGACGCTCCAAGGGCCTTCCAAGAGGCCTCCGAAGAGGGCCCCAAGTTGCCAAAATCGTTGATTTTCATTGTTTTTTACGATGTTTTTTTGCGTTCTGGCCTTTTCGCTTCCTGACGCTCCAAGAGGGCCCAAGAGGCCGTCAAGACTGCTCCAAGACGGCTCACGAGGCTCCCAAGACGGCCCCGGAGCGGCCCAAGAGCGCCCCCCAGACGGCCCAAGTGCTGCCCAAGGCGGACCAAGAGGCCCCAAGACGGGCCCAAGAGGGGCTCAAGAAGGGAACCGAGAACTGAAAAATCGAGCCCTCCGCCCCAGAAGGCGCCCAGGACCCCGAAAGAGGCCCCAAGAGACTCTCCAAGACACCCCCAAGACGCCCCAATAAGCTCCCGTGAGGCCCCAAGAGGACCAACAACGTCAGGCCCCAGGCCCCAAGAGGACCAACAAATACCGCCAAGAGCCCGCCGAAAGCCCCCCAAGAGACCGTCACGAGAGCTCAGGAGGCCCCCTGGAGGCCTCCCGAGTTCTCCAAGAGGCCTAAAAAGAGGCGCCAAGAGGCCCCAAACAGCCCCACCGAGGCTCCAAGAGGCCACGAACGCGCAAGCAAACGCCTGCGATGGCACAATACGGGCCGGCGGAATGAGCGAAGCGATTAATAAATGGGGCTGAATGATCGCGCCGCATCGCCGATGCATCGGCGACGCCAGCGTGGAGAGAGTCGGGCTCCACATCGAGCCGCATTGCCGACGCATCGGCGATGCGGCGCGATCCTCCGACCATCGAGGGGGCCTCGGAGTTTCGTAAACGCCCAGGGCCTCCTTGTAAAGCAAGCGCCAATCATCGGGGTCGGGGTGGTTCTGCGTCTGCGCAGCGTCTAGCAGGGCGGTGCTCTACGCCCCGACGCAAGCCAAGCCACAGCGAGCGATCGGCTCCGAACTAGGGAGCCACAAGGCGGGCACGAGTGCACAGGATGCGAAAGCGCAGCAGGCGAGAGGAGGCGGAGGGAAGAGAGAAATAACGAACGAGAGGAAGAAGCAACGAGAGGCAAGGAAGGCGAAGCCTGGAGAAAACCACTCAAAGCTACAAAACTAGGCGCTGGAGCTCGGCCTCCCCGCAGGCACCTCCACCGCACCGTGGAGGAGGCGGGCGGCGATGGTCGGCACCACCGCAGCGGAGGGTACGGAGCGGCGCAAAAGGCCGCACCCCCTGATGCAGAGGAGGAGGCGGAGGGGCGAGAGCAGGGACGACGAGGAGGTAAAGGTCAAGGCAAGTGAAGGGGCCCTGGGACACCCAAATAAAATAGACACAGATAGCAGGATTCCCCATCTCTTCCTATTCTTTTTGGGTTTTTCTCTCCCCCCCCCACTTCCCACAGTTTCCCACATGGGGGAACGACGATGAATTGTGTCTGTGTGGTTTTTCCCCTCCTGAGTACGGGCGCTCGGGGGGAGAGTCGTGCTGGGCGGCCGCTGGCGGCGGCAGCGCGGGCACCTCGCACCCATCTCTGCGGAAGACGTGGCTGCTGGGCCCCCCTCAGGGGGGGCCCGCACGCGGGTGCGGTTGGGCCAAACCTGGGCCGAGCCCGCAGCGGCCGCGGCGAGGGGGGGAGGGGAGCACGTAGAACTAGAAAAAAACGCTATGAACGTACACTTGTGGCTCTCCTCGCGGATTTCTGGGATCCGCGCTGGACCCCCCCTCCCTGAAACGGGCGGAGCGCGCCAGTGGCGGCGCCGGAGGCGCCGCCGGGGGGGGCCCAGCGCGGGCCAAGAAAGCCGCGCGGAGCGCCAGAACTTTCTGTTTCCGTGGCTGTCTTCTTCTTCGAGCACTGGCAGGAACGAGCGAAAGGGAGGCGGCCCCGAGAGCTCCCCGAGAGCCCCAGGGGCCTCGCGGCCGCCGCCGGCGGCCGCGCGGAGCGGCGGGGCCGACGGCGCAGGGCGCCGCGAGGGCGCCGGCACTGGGCGCGGCAGAGCCTGCGGCGGGGTCGTCGTCGTCGTCGTCGTCCTTGTCATCGTCGTCGTTTTGTCGCCGTCGTCGTCGTCGTCGTCGTCGTCGTCGTCGCCGTCGTCGTCGTCGTCGTCGTCGTCGTCGTCGTCGTCGTCGTCGTCGTCGTCCTCGTCGTCGTCGCCGTCGTCATCGTCGTCGTCGTCTCGTGGTCGTCGTGGTCGTCGTCGTCGTGTTGTCGTCGTCGTCGTCGTCTCGTCGTCATCGTCCTTGTCGTCGTCGTGTGGGGCAGGGGGAGGATTAGTGCAAACCCAAGACTCATCAACGATAATGGAATGCACCCTCCCTCCAAGCTCCCTCTTCATAATTAGGCCCTACAAGGGTTCACAATCAAGGCTTCAACGCGACGAGTCAACCTGACTGTTGTATCTTGACGATCTTGAACCGTGCCACAACACCGTTCTTGGGACTCCAACGCCGCGAATCAGTGTAACTGTTGTGCCCTGGCAATCCCTAATCGCTCCCAAACTCAATTTCTGATACGTTGTCCACGAGAATCCGTGAAGCGATTGCATCTTGTTCAGACGACTGTGTGCGGCGCTAAAGCGAGAATCACACTTTGAAATTGAACCGCCATCCATCCGTGATTGTTCTGCAACGTTTGAAACGGGTGTGCGCGGCGATCACTTTTGATAACGAACCGTCCTCAGTCCTTGGACTCATTGATTGTTTTGGAACAAATGTGCGCAGCGTAAAGCGAGATTTGTGTTGAACGAGCCGCCCTCCATTCGTGAATCCTTGGATATATTCAAAACAAATGTACGCGGCGCAAAAAATCAAGAGCCACATTTCGAAACCCACCCGACTTCAATCCGTGAAGCTCGTGCACACGTGTATAAAGAATGCGCGCGGCGCTCAGGCGAGAGCCACATTTTGGAAGCAGCCCGCCCTCTATCTGTGAAGCTGTTGACAGCTGTCAAGCTTGAAGCTCATAAATGGCAAGGAGACTCAGGCGAGACGTCCGTCCCGCCCTTCCGACTGGCCTCGGGGTGCGACGGGGAGGAGCTACTCGCAACGAGAAGGAGTGGAGGAGGATGTTGGAGAGGGAGGAGGAGGACTAGTGCAAACCCAGATTGGGCGGGGGCAACGGGCCGGGAAAACATACCCACCTTAAAACGTACCCAGGTTCCACTGGTTCGGGAAGGTGTTCCGCATTTTTTGGAATGCTATCCCGCGCAGTATTCTGTGCGTACCGTTTCATGGACCTACTCATGCACGGTCGCCTGTCGCTCGGGGGGGCTCTGTCTATTCGCTTAACGCTGTGGCATGACCTCAGGGGCCACGGAAACACGCGGCACATATTCTTTGCAACGTGCGTGCAAATGTGTAAACGCTAGAACACGCGTGTGTTTTTCGCTCGGAAAGATTACGTTGCGCAAGCACAAGTGCACTTCTGTTGACGTTTTCTGACACCCGCGCAACCCCAACGCGCAATGGGGCAAACACGCGCGCGAAGGGGCCATTTTTTCTTAATGCACCAACGGCTGACACCAAACACATTGGGAAGCGAACCAATCGATGATATTATTCCTTTACGTCTTAACAACGACGTTGTACCGATCCGCATCAGTAGTCGTTCCCACGACCGCACATGAAGGGGGCTCACGCATAGGCGCGCTTGCTGTTGGCATTGTTTCTGCGCCTCGGCGCGTCCACGTCGGGGGCGAGCAGGAGGGCAAGAGGGGGGAGGGGGAGTGGCAAGAAGGGGAAGGGACACGGAAGGGGAGGAGGGGGTGGTCCCAAAGGTAGAAGTTTCAAACACGCACCCCCCAGGAGGGCCTCGAACCGACGAGGTTCCAAGTTCGAATTTCGAAGTGCGAATTTCGAAGTTCGGAGTTCGAACTTCGAACTTCGGACTTCGAACTTTTAACTCTGAATCTTCTTTTTTGGAAGCCCCCCGCCAAAAGGAGCGGGGCGGAGGAAGACAGGGGGGCGGGGGAGGGGGGGGGGAAGGGGGGAGAGCGCGCAGGGGGCGGAGAGGGGAGGGCGGGCCTGGCTTTTCGCGCTCGGGGGAAGGAAGGAGGGAGGAACAGGGAGAGAGGAGGGGGAGGAGGAGGAGGTGGAAGGCTCAAACGAGGCCGAACGGCATCCATGAAAGTAATGTTTCTTTTTTCAGCTCCAGGAGCGCGGCAGGCCGCAGTCGACAACGAGGCGCCGACGCGCGCACAGCGTCAGGCCAACGCCGCGGGCGCAGAGGCCTCTCACCTCCGAGCCACGGCCAGTCCAAACGGCGCGCTTAGCCGTTCGCTTCACGTGCCAGCGTCGTCTCTCGGAGCAGAGAGGGATGCGGGGAAACCGTAAAGTTGCTGTACAGCACAGCCTGTAGTTTGTCGTGGAGCCCAGCGCACGCGCAGCGCGAAAAAAATGCACGAGGACAGGCTTGTCGCCGCTTTCCTTGCCGCGGCGCTGACGCAGCGCGCATCGGCAGCAATCAAAAAGGCCATGCATCAGCGGGCGCGCGCGTTTAAAACTCGCACAGGGACTCTCACTGTCGTCGGCTTTTCGCCTGAGCACCCACCTCAGCGAGCAGCCCCCGACGACGGGCCACTACCCGACGACTTCGTGGCGAGGCGCTTGCGCAGGGCGTCGGACACCCCCGCCCCCGACGGCGGCGAAGGGGAGGGCCGCTTGTTGCCCTTGGCCTTGCCCTTGCCGCCGTCCGCGGGCTGCTTCGGGGTGGTCGGCTCCCTCTTCTTCGCGAAGGCGGCGCCCGTCCAGTCCGGCGAGCGGGGTGGAGCCACGACGCCCTTCGCTGCGAACTCGCCCAGGAGGTCTTCGACCTTGCACGAGCGCCCGTCGTCTTTCTTGAGCGACAAGCTCGTGTTGTAGTTGAAGGGGTCATCAAACTGAAGCTCCACGGCGGCGAACTTGAGGACCGCCTTCGGCTCCTGGTGGTCGAGGCGGCACGTGACCGACCACTCGTCCTCGCTGTCGCCCTTCGCCCCGCTGTAAAAGCCGTCCTTGAGGTCGTCGTCGGTGTGCTCGGTGCTCAGGGGGCGCCCCTTCGCGGTGTAGTGCTGGCTTAGCGCCGTGCCGAAAGCTTCCCAAGTCTCCAGGCCCTCGTAGGTGATCGTCGGGAGCGGGGTGTCTGGACCGACCCTGAGCCCCAGGTAGAGCAGGCCCAGCTTGAAAGCCTCGTACCAGCAACCGTCGAGCGGCGTTTCCGGGAAGCGCTCGGGCTCCATCTTGTGGAGCAAGAAGTCGACAAGACCGTTCTGCCTTGTCTGGTGGCGACTAAGGCCGCGAAACAAGACGACGACAGAGACGAGGCGCGACGACGACGACGACGATGGCGGCGGCGGCGACGGCGACGGCGACAGCGACGGCGACGACGACGACGACGATGACGACGCCAACGACGAAGACGAAGACGACGACGACGACGACGGCGACGACGACGACGACGACGGACGACGGCGAAACTGACGTTTATGCTCTTGTGAGCGCGCTAGCGAGGGCGGCGAAAAGCCACGAGGCCAGGGAAGGGCAAACCAGGAAAGCCTCGAAAGCTCCAGGTTCGAACGTGGACCTTCGAAGTTCGAACTTCGAACTTCGAATTTCGAAGTTCGACGTGTGCAAATTGGGCCCCCCCTGACTCTTGGGGGGGATGGGGGGGTGGGAGGAGGAAGAGGGCCGAGAGCCGGCAGGAGGGGGAAGGGGGAGGGGGGGATGGAGCGGGCGCAAATCAGGGCATGAAGATTCCTCCGCCCTCTGCCTGTCCGGGTGCTCGAACTTCTTCAAGCCCGCGCGAAGCCTCTTGCCCTGTGGCTGCTCCGGCTCGGGCTTCTCGCCGCTCTCGGCAGGCTTGGAGGTGGCAGACGCCCTGAGGACCGCCTTCCACTCCTCGTTGTGGAGGAGCGCGTTCAAGTGGTACAGCAGGCCAGGGTCGGCACGCAGGATCTTCACCGTGTCCTCGACCGTCTGCTCGATGGCCGCCTCGCCCGCCCTGCTGAGGCTCGCGAGGATGGCCGCGGCCTCCTTGTCTGCGGCCTTCTCGGCGCGGCTGCTGGAGGACATGGCTGCGCCGAGGGGCTCCGTGGCGGAGTTTGGGGGGCCGCGGCAGGCTTGTCGCCGAAAGGCTTCTCAGACGCACTGCGCTTGAGCCTAACGGTTGCCGAAGACGAGATGGATGGGGGGCGGGCGACAGGGAAGACGGGCGGGCGGAGAGGGGGCGAGGGGGGTGACGCAGACGGAAGGAGGAGCACGAAGGCAGACGGCGGACCGAGAGGGGGGGAAGGGCAAGAGGAACGGAGCGAGCGAGGGCGGCGAGAAGCCTGCCTGCAGGCTGAGGAAGGGCAGGGGGGGCCTCCAAAGGTATATATTCGAAACTCGCCATGCCCTGGAGGGCCTCCAACCGACGACGTTTCAAGTTCGAACTTCGAAGCCCGAACTTCGAAATCAGGAGGTCTAAGTTAGAACTTCGAACTTCGACCATCCAACTCTGAACGTCGCGCTTTGGAGGCCCCCCTCCCCCCCCTCCCCCCCTCCCGCCACGAGAAATGGGATGGAAGAGGAAAGGGGGACGTAGGAGGGGGAAGTTTTTCCGCGAACCTACTCCTCGGCACTGCTGCCTCGCGTCGGCGCCGCCCAATACGCAAAACAACAGACATTGGGGCGCAGCACAGGCTGACGCCGAAAAATGGGGGCAGCACAAGCTTGCGCCTCTAGCAGGTGAAACTGAGCGGGCCGCAGCACAGGCTTGACGCCGAACAGACTGCGGACGAGCAGCGCCAGACAGGATGACGTCAAAAAGTGCTGCAGCGCTGCCTGTCATCGATACACACATTGCTTCGTCGCTCACGGAAGCTCCGCCTCGCGGAAGCGTTTGGCCAGTTCTTCCATGTCAAATGGAGCGGCCTCCTTGGTGAAATCGTAATGGAACGTCCACGTCCACCAAATCGCCTTGCAGGCTGCGCACTCGTAGCCCCGCTTCGTCCACGACGCAGACTTCCATTGGTTCGTCGGCGGG